TTACAAACGAGTATATTTATGAAAACAATCTGCTTAAAACTAATAGACAAGTATCTGTGAATAGAATTTAATGAATGATATATTTTCCAGAGTAACTATGTAAAATGATTAATTTTTTTTCCAGAGTAATTATGAAAAATTGATTAATTACAAAACAAGGAAAAGTCTAGTGAGAACAATTTGATATATTTCATTTGGTTGAAATGGTGACCACCATACCAAGTTGAAATAGAGCTAATAACGTGATGATATTAGCGTGTTGTGCCATGGTACCACTTTTGATTCCCTTGGCACTGCATGTTGAGTTGATTGGATCGGTGATATTAATAGTGAGACTGTCGGAGCTGAGTGATACTGTATCATTGTCGACGCCCATCACAATCGAACCCGCATAGCCATTTGTATAGAGAGTGCCTGTGAATAAAGTACTGTTACAGACACCACTCGCACTGGAACTAATTGTATAGTTATTTCCCGACAAACTTGTCACCAAAATATGTCCGCTCAAACAACAGCAAGTGGCTGTGCTGCATGATGAATCAGCCGTATAAGTGCCAGCCCATGACTGAGATTGAGCTACACCAATAACTGTTGCCACCAGAAGAAAGAGTACTATTGACTGCATGAAATTGTTATTTGAAGATCACGATTTTGAAATGAAGCGCAAGAGTGAATATGTTCATTGTTGATGTGAGCTTTTATAGTACTACTATGACTCTCTTCCTTGTTTATTGAATGACGCAAAGAAGCTGAAAAAATCCCAACAAAAGAAAAAACAGGTTTTGGAAAAAGACGTGCATTCATAACCTTCTTTGTCCTCACAAATTTTCTCTTCCTTTTCCTTTCATATTCACTGTCTACTGATGTTCTTTAGTGGAAGAGATTTCTTTGAAAGGATGTGGTTGCTAGGTGAATACAGTATACACAGTCTCAAGGTAAAAAAAGGCTGTTCATTCAAATAACAAAAGAATATGAAATATATCATTGTATAATAGTGTTCAACGTAGAATATGAAAGAAAAAGAAGAAAATATGTTGATTAAATGAGTCATCTTCATAGAGAAGATGAATACTTTTAAAAGGAAATAAGTAGCGGTGGAAACAAAAAGAAAAATAAGTGGATTTTATGCTTGAAGATGAATAATCATGATAGTGAAACTACTGGTATTTTCCAACATGTAAAAAAATACATAAACTGTTTTTGTAAATTATCATAGTGAATACTTATCAGTTCTATATCTATGACACATTTACCTAATTTAAAAACCAAGAACTTTGATACACAGAAACTTGACTTTGTATGATCGAACTTCTTACGTATTTACTCATATTCTGTAATAAATGAGAACTTAAAAAAACTGAAATAGTAGCAAAACTCATTGTCCATGTTGTTAGAAATTTTAATTTTATATTTTTATGAAGAGAGAACAATAGAACAAGATCAAAGTAAAAAACATTGCACTGATTCACACTTTCAGGTATATTAGTTTTTATAAAAAGTAGGAGATATAATACCAATAATTTATTTAAAATTAATTAAACATTTAAAAACAGAACAAATAAAAATGTATTCCCATCATAAACAGCAAGCAAAATAACCTATCAAGTTTTACAGAAACTTTATTCTGTTGTTTAATTTCTGTAAATATATTCATTAATTTTTCAATATATACAATAAATGTAAATAACGAGTATTTTACAATCGATTAAAATTCTTTCTGTAGTACACTTATAATAAGATGGTGTAATCGAGGACATAGATTTACTAATAGTTGAACTTATATGATTGTATAGTAACATCTGTAATAGTATTTGTATGAGATATATATACATCTTTAAAAAAAAGTAAATTCATTAGTTTTTAAAAAATTGCTGATTCCTAATCCGTGTTCAGTATAAATGTGATGAACTGAATAAATCTTTTTTTCCTGTCATATGAATAGTTACACTGATTTTCAATGCAGTTCAATATGTAGTTTCTTCACGGTCAAGATAGAAAATTGTTACGGTTAAAAAAAAACTACTAATATAATCTCTAGAGGATGTTGGTGTATTACTAATGAGATCTTGTATAGATTAGAAAAATCTTAGGATAATACAAATGCAATTCAGAAATTAGCTAAGATATAAACATTTTACTATAATTCTTCTGGAGAATGCCATTTTTACTTTTCTAGTAAGATTAACTTGCTTATAAGACGTTAAAGTTATTGGATAAATTATTTCTTAGACAAAATTTCTTTAGGTATATTGTATTTTACATGGATATTTTAAGAAATTCATATCTCGAAGGCAACTTGTCTCAATCTTCTGATATTTTAAGATATTGTAATTTGACTGAACCTATTTTAAAGGCATGGTATGCGAGAAGATAGATCAACACCTTTCCGATCTATGAGTAAACATTAGTAGGTTTTATTGAGACAGAGCACATTACATGAAGAAAAGCAAAATGAAAAGTTTCACTAGCCGAGTAGGTAAATTATGCGTAAGAAAAATAGTATGAAAGTGATCTTCTTTTTACTGCGCAATCATCTAGCACATTGATACAAGTTTTATAACTTCTCATATTATATGTGAAGTGAGCAACAGTTTAATTGCAACAAATACATTATCTATCGATAAGAAGAGGGAAATAATATTAAAACCGAATATAATAAACGAAGCAAGAGAAAATATTGACAAAGACTTCGTTGATGAAACAATAATGAGCTGGTATGATAGATGTAAGAAATAGAGTTTCATTTTTGATTTTTTTTGAATGTGTTTGAATCATTTTATTACGAAATGATTTCATAAGAATATAGATAATTTTCTATGTAATAAAAAAAATATTGTTATATACTCGTTAAAAATTCATATAACAAAGAATCTCTTAATATTTCTCCTTCATGTCAGATTTATATCATTTTTATATCACTGTATAATACATCTAGACGTCTTTCTCTCTCATGTCTTTCACATTCACATCCAACAAGTTCAACGAATGAACTTACTAATATACACTTTCCTTTTCTTTTATTTGTCGCGATGTACAATAACGCATCTGAGTTAAGTGAGATGGTGTATCAATATTGATAATTATCTGTTGTCAATACACTCATGTACTGTCCACACTACAAATATGCGATGTAGCTCAATAATCAACTATATATGAAATATGACGATAAGTTACTCTCTACAATTGATCGTTATATATGTGATTGTAGAATTGAAGGTTGTATGAAGTGAAATATTCTCATCTGTGTCGATACCAAGTCTCAAGATAAATGCTATTTATAGTAACTTTTTTTACTGTATAACACATCAATAAATGACGTTCGTTTTAGACTGAAACTATCTTAGAGTAGAATAATCATGACTCATAGCTATTTATATACTGAACCGTTAGAATGATATGAGTAATATTACATATTCAAAAATAAAACTGATACGCTTGAAAAAGCAAAGCATCTATGCACATACATGTGTATATAACTGGTTGACTATGTATATATGTGTACATAGGTAGGTGCATTTATTGTATCAATAAATATAAAATCATATTATTATCATCTTATACGTATTTCTTTATTGGTAAATATTGAATGATCTATCCTTTTAATAATTTTTACAATTTAATAGACCGTTTCAATATAATCTTATTTATAGTACTAGATGAATATTCTTATATCATTAAAAATGCTATCATACTCATTTTCAACGTTTACAATAAAAAAAAACTTTATTTTGCTGGTATACTTAAATTTAAGGATTTATGCAATTAACTAGAGTAAAGATTTTTTCAGACCTTTATATCTTTTTAGATTTGTAAGAAAATAATATTTTCTTCAATAAAACAACAGCAAGAAAATGATTAAAATTTTCTTCTCATGTCTTGTCATATTTGGGTTCATTGCCAATGTGACAACACGCTCAGTCAAACAATCACTCGCTGGTCCTACTCTTGATACTTGGCCAACGGAAGTAGCTAAGAGATTGGACAAGATGATCAGTGATAATGCAAATAGTGGTTCTTATGCTTGTTTCGATAGTGATCAAACAACTTATCAGTGGGATTTGGAAGAATCCATATTTGCATATCTTGAAATGAAAAATGTTTTAACACGTGAAAAACTCGATCCAGCACTCAAACTCAGTCCATTTTTAGATACAGACGAACGTGAAGAAAGTCTCTTCTCTTACTACCAACGTCTCTGTACTACGATCGATGATGTTGTCTGTTACATGTGGATTGCACAAGCCTTCTCTGGCATGACTCTACAAGAACTCAAATTTTATGTTGATGAAATGTTGCAATCAAACACTGGTAATACAACAATCAAAACTATTTTAACAACATCAAGTAATAACTCTATAATTCAAACTGAATACGACGCACCTATACCGAACTTTTACAAAGCTCAACAAGAACTCTATAATCGTCTTATGGCAAATGGAATAGAGGTCTTTGTTGTTACAGCTAGTAATGAAGAACTGATACGTATGGTTGTAGCTGATCCAAAATATGGTTACAATGTTAAACCACAAAATGTAATTGGAATAGCAACACTTCTGAAAGATAATACTCAATTGACTGTATCTCGAAAGCAGATTCAAGATAATACTTACGATCAAATGCAAAATTTAAATTTAAAATTGACTTCCTATCTGTGGTCTCCTCAATCGATGTTCGTTGGAAAATATGGCGCTATTTTGACATATATAAATCAGTGGAAAATGCCAGTTCTTGTAGCAGGTGATACTCCTACTAGCGATGGCTATATGATGTTTCATGCTTATAATCAACAGCGCGGTACAATTCGTCTATGGGTAAATCGAAAGGATGCCTATCTAACTCTAATTAAACAAATGAAGAATCAGTACGCTAGCGAACAAAAACAAAATGATCTTCCAGTTACAGCTGATAAAAATTGGATATATGTAACACCAAATGACCTTGGACCAGAAAATGGAATGTTATCGAATGTTACAAGTAAGAAGAAAAAAGTTTTAAAAGATAAGATTCATGATCTTTTCTCAGTCTCCAGAACCTACGCTAAATAATACAGTGTATAGATAGTATAATCGTAAGTAGCTCAAAGTTTATTTATTTTTATGCTAAATATCCCAGCAGATACTAGCTCTGACAACTTTTACTAGACGTAGATTAAGCCAGATATCTAAAAGAAAAAACTTGAATGTAATTGAATTGTTTAACTTTTTTTTTACTTTAGATACATCGACACCTATGTCATCTATGTAAACAATAACTGCAGTTGATCATATGGGTAATGACAGACCTAACCTACAAACAATCAAAGTCAACTTTTAATTTTATTGATATTATTATTTGTAACTCATTTCTAAATAAACTTCTATTTTCCTATTAACTATTTTCTATTTGTGTGGGTATGGGTATTGTATTTCATTCAAATTCACATCAGTAAATAAAAAGAGCTTTGCCATTACTCATCAACCATATTTTACCTTACATATCTCGAAAATGTGAATGAAGTATAAATATAATACTCTTGTTCATCGTTGTATTCAGTCAATTTTAATAATTAATTCTGCAGCATCACTTGAAACTGAACGACGAAACAATAACAAAAATCGTATATTTTTATGTATAATATTATCTTTTTCATTACCATATGCATTATCATGACCGTATTTAAGTTCATTGTCGACTATTGTTTTTGAAAACAATCAAGTTGAATAAATCCAATAAATGGTAAGATCATTCAAAAATCTAAGCAAGATAAAAGTGTTACTTTGTGTGCCTTCTAGCTTTTCAATATTCTTTATGATTCTTTCGATTTATTCATATTTCATACTTCGATAATCGACACAATATTTCGTTTACTATATCATGATAAGTTTTCATCTATTTTTTTCTATGTCTATTAGCTCCTACTTTTTTGAAAGCTTTTATTTTGTCGAAGTTTATTAGAAACTACAACTGTAAATTTAACATTGTATCTAAAAAATTTCCCCATCTTCCCACCAGTGTTAACAGTATGCATGTGATCGAGAATAACAAGGAAGAACATGTTACAGTCATATCTTCATATGTCTTCACACATTCTTTCCCATCATATCTGGTTTTTTGTTATATACATTCTTTGTTTTTTGTTCTTTTTCTTTCCTGTTTTTTGTTCTTCATTCGAATAAAATACAACGTCAAGAGAAGGTCCTCTCATAGAACGACTTATATATTTAAAATAGTGTTGAATCGAAAAGTAAAATAAACCACGATGTTTCGTGTTATATTATTATTTTTAATCTTATCTGTAACATTACCTACATCATCAATATCAATTATTCGAAAAGATCGTATACGTCGACAACTTGATAATCAACATTGTGAAGCTATTACAGGTTTCGATTGTAAATGTTCCTTTTATCGTGTAATATGTACAATTGATCATGAATTACCATCACCTATAAATATTATAGCAAACGAAAAACACAAATATCAATCTGTTGAATTAATTATAGAAGCTCCACGTGATATTCATGTTAATGAATATACATTTGAACCGGTTAAAGAATTATATAAACTTGATGGAGATCATTTCGAATTTCGTATTAAATTCGAAAAATTTACTGCACTTCATTTATCATCACCTTCAATCTTTAATCGAATATTTTCAGATAATTTCCCATCAAATGCACGAACACATTTAGCATTAGAAATTTATAATCCTGAAGTAACACCAGATGCTAATCCAAACCTATTTCAAAATTTACATGCAGAGTCATTAGAATTATATGCATTGTATCCATTTCATGGTACATTTCAACAATTATTCAAGGATGCCAATATAAAATTTCTACGTTTAAGTGGTGGTGATATACGTTCGGATGTTTCTGAAACATTTACAGGCAATATCGCTCGTTTAGAGCTAGCTAATCTAGCGAACGCAATTTCAGTACAGCTTTTTCCTGTTTATCCAGTACATGAATTAACTATAAATGCGTTTTATGTAACCGACTTTGATACTGAACATCCACCAAATTATGCTAATTTAGGTGAATTACGTGTTCATACTACAAATCGTATACCAGCACATGCTTTTCGTCAATTTCCTAATATACATTATCTGTTCAAAGTGATCAAGGCATTGATCCACATGCATTTGATGGTTTAACTCACTTAGAAAAATTAACAGTCAAAGATTCACCACCAAATTTAGATCTTTTCAATAGTTTACCAAATCTTAAAGAATTTGAAGTACGTATTGAAAAATTAGATGAAAATACACAATGTAAATTAATTGAAAAACTAGCTAGTGGACAAGTAGCTATTCAAGCCCTACCATATGGTCGAGAATGTACATGTGTATCAGCTTATTTGGATACAGCTGTTGGACGATTCCCATGTAGTCCACAGGATTGTGAGTATTCATCATGTGCTGCAATTAAAAATAACTACAATGCAGATACAAGTACATTTAATCCACCACCAACAATTCAACGTTCCGATGGTACAGACGCTTTACGTGAACGTGAACCACGAGTGTACACGGCACCATATCAAGTTACACCACAAGATAAACAAAAACTACAAAACGCTATTTCACCACCACAACCAGAACAATCAAATGAAGATAGACGACGACCTGACTGTGAATACCAGGCTCCAGATGCACCTTATGATCCACAAGGTAAGTTCGATATACATAGAGAGAGGGACAGAGATCTTCTATTATGCTGTAGAAGCTGTAGACTTACTAAGTAGTTAGAAAGCAAAAAATAAATAAACAGGTATTTTGTATGATAATCTACGATATGTATCCTTCATAATCTACTTCTTCTGATAAGTATGACTTTGTTAATACATATAATAATGGAAATTTAGATGCAGATGATTACTCATCAAATGTAGACAACAGTCAAACTGAAAAACCTTATTCTGATCCTTCATCTAAATATGAAAATCCATGGGATGATCCAAATTATTATCAATCATATAATGAATTAGAAGCAACAACACAAATAAACACGCAAGATAGCTGGGAACAGTATCCAAGCGATATTACTACTACTGCTGCTGCTATTCCTTTTTATCCGATCAATGATGATTCACAAGAAGGGCAAGATAGCGAAGAATCACAAGCACAAAACGAAGATAATGAATATCAAACTGATTCAGCAACTGCTCAATCAGATGAACGTGATGCAGGTAGCAGCGAAAAAGAATATAGTCCAACAGTAACCACCGAATAGAAAACATAAACTAGCCCGGACATAAATGTTTTTTAAAATGTGCTTTTATAATTAATTGTCGTCTCGTCTTCTGTTTTGTTCAATTTTTTTATCGTCAATCGTCCTCAGCAGTTTAAACAAGAGCAAGTATCAATATTATTATTATTATTATGATTATGGTTAACATTCTCCTCTATTTTGATACATAAACACCAAAAATATAACTATACCATATATTACATGTGCGTGTGTGTGTTTTCTTTTTTTTTCTTCTTCAAATTCATTTGGATTGTTCTTATCAAAATATTTCATTTCTCTCTTTTATTATTACTCACACGATAAGATTTTTTGGTTTTTCATCTCTATATTTCAATCTTGCTTCTTGTTTTATTAAAATAAAAAATTATCTTTAAAAAAAACATTATCTAGAAAAAACGAATGAATCCTTTTTCAAAACAAAACAGAAGAATCCGTCCTCCATCATATAAAAGAAAAGGAAATGTGAATAACATGAACGGTAACAAAGACGTAATAATATTTTTGTATAAGTAAGTGATTGGAAAACTTATTCCAGCAATGACACTATCTAACACAGATAAATGAATCCACTTCGTTTTAGTTTTCAATATAAGAACAGTCATCAGCACATAATGGTTTCTAGAAGAATTACATTTCATTTGAATCTTTAAAACAGCTTCTGAATGTTGAGTAATGTGCTGTTAAAAATGCCTCTAAGATTAGTAGCAGTCTTTATAGTCGACGCGAAATCTTGTGAATCCATCATATTTCTTTTTGAATTAGAGAGTATGGAGATATCCACTTCACAGTTTTTTTTTAAACTGATACTAAGCAATAATTGTACATACATACTATTGAATCACCAAATGCATGTAGATATATATGTGAAGCTATGTTATTTGTATCATTAAGTGCTGTTTTTAATCTCAAAAATATTTTCGTTTCATTGAAGATAACAGAAAGGATTCTCATATATTTATCTCAAATCAAGTCAATGTAGAATCGAAAAATGAATTCACTCGCAAACATGAAAAATAAACGCTTATAGCTAATATAATTGACTTCATTATATTTTGACCTACATTTACTTGTTTTTGGTTTTTTTTCTTTTGAATTCTAATTATAATAAATAGAAGGAAATAACATTATTTTTCTTGTTACCATATGAAAAATTATCTCGGCCATGTACTCAAAAAAGTTAAAAATATCTTTAAAAAAAGTACATCACATAATAATGACGTTTACATTTTTGCTTCGTTCTATCAACTAAAGACACATTTTTTTCTTCTCTTTCTGTATTAAAAAAACATCATCTTAATTCTTTGTGTAGAAGAAGTTAAACTGATTTCATAACAATCTTTTTTTTCTTCTTTTCTGTTAGTCATTTACTAATGTTACTTTAGGCTGAGGATAAATATTCTTTTTCTTCTCGTTATTTTTCTGTTTTTTGTACGAACAACAGACGTATCGTAGATAGAAAGCAACGTGTTTTCAAACAAAAGTAACCATTTGGTTACTTTTAAATATTATTTTTTATCGTAAATACTTATATTTAGTGATTAGTTGAACATTTTCACATATTTCAATTACAATACTAATCAAAAGACAATCAGTATGAGTACTGCTCCCGATCAAGAGCAGCAACCTCGCGCAACAAACAAAAGTTCCTTGGACAAAGCCGTGATTCGACTTTCATCACGACGTACTCTCTTTCAAATAATTTCTACAATTCCTACTTTCGCAGTCGAACTAACTTATGGTATAAAGTATTTAAATCAATGTCCTATTCAACCATTAATTAATGTTTTCTTGATTGTACATGCATGTGCAAGTTTGGCAGAGGGAATTGTTCTTTTCATAGGCTTTATTGCTGCTAAGCACATTAAAAAATCGCTCAATACTTCATCATTTACTCGAATTTTGGTCGCTGGTAGTTCGATTGGACAGCTTTTTCTATTATTTTTTTCTATTGTATGGTTAATAGTCGGTCAAGTCTGGGTATTCGGAGCTTTTTCGAATGGATTTCAATCCACGGATTCTACTCAATCTTCTACTTACTGTCATCAAACTGTATTTTGGACTGGATTTGCTATTATTGTCGTTACATACGCTATTTGCTTAATCCTTATTTTAGTGTTGGGTGGACGCTTTCTTATAAAGCGTCACAAAATGAAACGACAAACAGTTGTTCCAAATAATCAATAAAATGTAGAGGAAGCATAAATGAGCGAAGAGTTTATATTCAATTTTTATATATAGGCTCTCTCAACCACGAGAAATGTCATAACATCGACAATATACTACAACTTTCAATGTACCATTCGAAGAATGTTTTTATTAAAATAAAACAGACATTCGGATCAGTGTATATACGCACTTAATGTTACTGATTTCCTACTGAAATTGTATTTGAAGTATCTAATAGTGTGATCTATCCTTTATAATCTTTTACTGTTCATATCTGAGAGATTTGCATACTTTATGCAATTTTCGAACAGAAACTATTAGAACTATTGCCTATGTCTGAGATGTACGATATTACACTCAGCTGATTTACATCATCACCTTGTCTCCGGAGAAAGCATAATTCATATTCTCTCCACATACCACAATTCGACAATTTTCTTGAGTGTGGTTGTGAGAAATATATCAGTCGGTCATTCATATATACACCTACACTCTACGTTCGTATATCTTGTGGCGCATCTTTAATAAAAGTCATATTAAGATAAAAAGATTTAATATAAGAATATTTGAAATCAAAAATATATTTGCATTCTCTGTAAAATATTTAAAAGTACCACTGAAAGATAAGAATAAAGCAATTTATCTACGTCCTTGATGAAGGTATTAGTGTTTTATTACTATGTTAAAGATAAAAAAATATATAAAATAGTTTCGAAGAGTAATTTCTTTTTTATTTGAAACCAATTTTATTGTATAAAAAGTATGGATGACAATCATTGGCAATTTGTAGACAATACACCACAGAATAATCAGCGTAAACGTCTGAGTCGTCGTTGTATTATAATCATTTGTATTATTGTTATTATCGTCATAATTCTGGCAATTCTTCTTCCTCTATTATTTAAGTTTGTCATTTTTAAACCCAAGACTTCAGGAACTACCACTGAGACAACAACAACAACAACAACAACAACAACAACAACAACAACAACAGAAGCATCATTCACCGGAGTATCAACATCATCGGTAATAGCAAATATCACATCTACTACAGCAATAACTACTACTTCGCGACCAGGTAATGTATAAAGTAACGATTTAATCTTTAGTCTTAATCCGACACATTGTCGAAGAGAATTTCTAAAGTATTTTTAGAACTCTCACTTAGACGAATTCTGGTGTCTGTTGTGATGATGTTTCGTTCCTCCTTATTATTCCTTTTCATCTGATTTATTATCCTTATCTTTCTGTTCTTATTCTAAACGTCGCGTGAGACTTTGTCTCCATGTGGTTTTATCCTTATTATCCCTTTCTTTCTCATTCTTTCATTTTCTTTGATGTATGGGTATATAATTGTGTGCTTTGTATAAAAACGATGGGATTCCTGATAAAAAGAAATATAATAAAGTGTATTACTATCAGCACAAACACTTCTATCAGAAACTATCACATCTGTTATTTACTAGGTATCTTAATATTAAGAATGATTCTTTCTAAATCTTTTTCAGTTCTCGATTAAATTTTTTGCAGAAGATTCTAGTGTCCGTTCGAGATGCGCGACTTTTTACTATAAATTTTAACTCGTTTGAATAATACACGCTTTCATATCAAAATGATCATAGGAAGATAGTAGTTGTACTTTTGATGTATCAGTGTTGAAATACGACTAAGACAAAAAAAATATAAAGTATTTGAATTCTAATTATATGCTTATGATGATACACAATAACCATCTTGTGAATTGTTTGAAAATTCAATTACTTTGTAAAACGTGTTTATTTCTTATTCGGAATGATAGATTGACAAATAAAAATGGAAATGAATAACAAGTAGATATATATCAAATATAATGATTGTAAGCGATAAAATGCTAGTGAAAAACACAAACGTACATGATACAGAATTATTTACATGTAATTTATTATCATTAGATATTAACTAATGTTTTGTTAGTCTCATTATTATATGTATTTTGTATTGATACAATAATGTTAGAATATAGGCATATATAAGTGCCACATTTAGTTATAAAAAAATTGTGTTAACATATCTTTTTGCGATATTATATATAGTTTTATTATCAATACTAGTCATATAAGTATAATTGACAGAATAAAAACATGTATTTTAATAAAAAGAGAATTCAAATAGTTTGTGATTGACTTGTTTGATTCATTACGTAAATATATTCATAGTTCATCACGAGTTAAATTATAATATTAGTTTACTCACAGATTATAGAAGATATAATAAATTCTAGAAGCAAATTATCAATTTGCGTCATCTGAGTTACATATAAAGATAGATATATTGCAATGCTTCTTTGTGTGTTCGAGATAACATAGGTTGTATTTTTTATCAGTTATTCAATAGTGTAAGACAAACATCACACTGCTTTGAATAATAGTTTTTATTTTTAATGGTAAATTAAAATTTCTCATGGAAGAATATCTAGATCAGATGGAATATGAATCATCTGATACTAGAAATAATAATACACAAGAGCGTCGACGTTGTAACCGTTTTACAATTGTATGCATTATTTTAATTACCTTAGCAATCTTGGCAGTTATTTTGTCTTTGTTATTCAGATTTGTTATTTTTTCAGCAGAAGAATCAACAACTACCATTATTACAACTGTAACAACAACAACAACAACAACAACAACAATAACCACTACTCGAGAGCCAGGTAACCTTAGAGCAATACTTTCATTCGATAAAAGTCTCGTCTTGATTCTGACTAGAGTTTTCTTATGAAGTAAAAATATATGATCTTTTGATGATTCGCTCTTGATCCTTGTAGTAAAATCTTATGAGAAATTTTAATTACGTATTAGGCAGTTTTTCGTTAAAATGAAGTAAGAGTATCTGACATATTCATTGCTTCATTTATCGCAATAAGATTTCAAAGTGATTCTAAAAATTACAATAGATGGTTTTTGCATTACTCTTCAATACATAATATATTTCTTTCTTATGTAAAATCAAAATAATAGATATAGATGTTTTCACTTATTTTTTAAAATTTAAATTTATATTCAAGCTTTATTCTAACTTGTACTTTGTACAGACGAAACTAAATGATTTAACATTCTGGATTTAACTATGATTAGATTCTTCTTTTCAAACAGTTAAACCAAAAATTAATATACTATCTCTTTAACAGATTTTTCTTCTCGCTAACTATTCACAAAAGTACTCTTTAGATGCACATTACGTATATTTAATGACTTTTCTAGAATGGAACGCTACTGGTCACATGAATGAGGCACGACGTAAGCATGCTACATCCGTCTTAGACGATGGAAGACTAATCGTTACTGGTGGACAGGGCAGAGGTAGTACTCAGTTAAAAAGCGTGGAGTCCTATACTCTCTCAACAGGAAACTGGATACCTATTAACGACATGATTTATACACGATTTGATCATACTTCATCTAAATTAAAAAATGGACAGATCATAGTCATTGGTGGATACAACGATCGCGGTCCGATGAATACTGTTGAGTTGTACAATTCTACAACAGGAAATTGGGAAACTCTTATACAACACATGAACTTTGCACGCCATATGCACACTACATTGATATTACCAAACGGCAATGTGTTAGTTATTGGTGGAGTTAGTACAAGTGGTTCTTTGAATAACGTTGAATTATATGATATATCTGCAAAAACTTGGGAAAATATTGGTATTATGAAACATAAAAGACATTATCATACGGCATCCTTATTAGATAATGGAATAGTATTAGTTACTGGTGGATATAATGGTAGTAGTGTCCTGAATAGTGCTGAGTTGTATAATTCATTAACACAAGTTTGGGACAGTACTAGTAACATGATTTTTTCACGGCGTGAACATACCGCATCTGTTTTAGACAATAGAAAATTATTAGTGACTGGTGGATGGAGTGGTAATGATCCATTGAATAGTGCCGAATTATATGATCCTATAACAAGAAATTGGACAACTATAAGACCTATGAATGATGCACGACGTGAGCATACTGCCTGTAAATTACCAAATGGAAAAGTGTTAGTTATTGGTGGACGGAATCATAACATAGCATTAGCTAGTGTCGAATTGTATGATCCATCGACAGGAAATTGGACATATAATGGTAACTTGACTAATGCACGATATGGACACACCTCATCTATAATACACAATACGACAGTGTTAGTTACTGGTGGAATCGATAGTACTGGCTATTCTTTGGATACGTCTGAACTGTACTATCTTCCGTAAGCAAATTGATGAGAAACACTTAATTCACTATCGAAACAAAGTGTCCTGACTTTGAAGACTATTTTAATAATTGAACATTTAAATTCTAATGAAAATAAATAAAACGTTCTCAAAGTATGAGAATTTTATTGTTATGTGGACGGATGAATCAGTGACTGTCAAAAAAATAAATATATGATTCACTCTTTCATATTCAACTAAAAAATTTATTAGGAAATTAAATTCATTGTCAATGCTAAATAATTGTTTTTTGTCTTTTGAAGAAAACAGGTAACACACGACAATTGAAAAGCATAAATTGATTTCATCATACAATTAAATAACTATTAAAGTAAGCTGATTTTTGTGGTATATGTATTGAGGAATGATGGCAAAAAGGTCAAAATTATTGTTAAATATAAAATACTCAAATTAACGTTTTATTGCATAATTTCATAGCCATGTATTAATTTTCTCAAATATCGTACCACTGATTCCAAACTATTTTCTTTGTGTTTTTCAACTGAATTTTTTTCTTTGAATACAAATGTTGTTGGTGGGTGTTGTAAATTATAATTTATCAAGTTTTATATTTGCGACTTATCTCATATATCAAAAAATCATATAAAAATCTGTTAGCGCAATCCCTGTACGATTGGAATGTGAAATACGAAATAGTTGCTGTGACATATAAGCTAATGCGAATTTGTAACGTCTCTCACGATCTGTAGTATAAATTAAATTAACATTCATGTATCGTATGTAATAGTTGAAATAAAAGAGAGATAAAAATAACTAAGATATGTAAATAAAAGTAAAAGGATATTTAACAAAAAGAAATATTCCATTAAACATATAAATGTCTATTTAGAGATAATATGCTTATAAACCAGAAAAACTACTGAATGTTTTTTTATCATCTCATGACAATATATCACACAAGAATTCATAAATATTTTTTAATAAAAAGCTTTTATTTTATTTGATTCTATCCCATCGAATAATTTTGATTAGAAAAATGTATTTAATTCTTTTAATAAACTGTATAAAAAAAAGACGATCATTTGTTTGATACGATAATCATTTTATTCTAAAAAGTTTAAATTTATAAGTAAATCACCGGTAGGGTGTGGGTGTGGGTGTGGGATGCAGTAAGATGTTGATTTACCACCAATGTACGTGTAGATGTGAACAAAACTTTCAAATTTTATTTTCGCATACATTCCTTCCTATCACCATACCAGATATTGCTATATTAGTTTATGATTTTGTAGTATTTTATTGTTTCATAATACTCTTTACAGAATAATCTTAAAAAGATAAATTAAAGAAAACAGACAACAACTAAAAAAAAAGTATTAATTGTGAGAGTAAAAGGATAAGATATTAAAAGGTCTATTTAATATTAATGTCTTACTTGTAGTTGGTTGAGAAAACGGTATCCAAGACGTTCGAATGCTGCACGATAAAGTGTACCAGTAAGTGTATATAAATAAAATGAAGTTGTGTGGGTGAAAAACAAGAGAAGTATTATTATAGAATATAATAAATTTTCAATAGCAACACGATATGCACTTTTTGGAACATCGGATGTTAGACTAACATATGAACGATCAACTCCAAACGGTAAATCCAGAACAAGAACAATCATTACCTAAAATAATTTTATTTACATTTATTACATATTATCTATACTTAGTCAGGTGATTAAAAAAAGAGATAAACTAATGTGAACTAATAACATCCTCGTAAGATTACGATCATTATTTCGTGTTACTAGTGCATTCGTGCTTGTAGTAGTTTCACTAATTGAATTGGCTGTAGGTTGAATAAATCTTGCTCGAGCATTGCGAATAGTTAATGCACCAAAAATGGCTAAACATATGCTGGGAAAAACGATATCGATTAATATGTTACTCCAATCACTAATTAGTCGGCAAGTTAGATTTTGAGCATAACAAGCAACTGGAACATTAGGAACACTTGCTTCAAAACAATACAATATTTCAAGAAATGCTAATGCAAAAAATATAAAAATTCCAATGAGATATCGTTTTGCAGTTTGACTTGTACTTAATCGTCGATAGGCAGCTGAATGACTACTACATAGATATCGATCCATACTTGCTCCAACAGGAGCCCATATAGCTACTGCCCAACTAACATTCAGTAAATACAGACGAATTTTACAAATTGGTCGATTTTCATTTGGCCAATTAAAATTATAACTAGAAATTAAAATACACACATTTTTACTATTATCAAATATGTTCAGAGCATTTAATAAATTATACCAATTGTATAAAAGAATTCTTCTTCTATACAATAACAAAATATTAAAACTATTAAACCTACCCTTGTAGAACTCGTGTTAATAATCCTGACCATAGAAACACAACAGCTGATACTGAAGACCAACAAAGATAAAATGCACATGGAATTTTTCTTAAAGAATTTTCACTTAAAACCAAAACATTGAGTACATTACCAACTGTACCAAAGAGAAGTACGATTGCAGCTGCATGACGATTAATTTGTATTGTTGCAAAATTAATTGAAGATATTAAATTTATATCATTTGACATGTTTTTCTCTTATTAACTATGCAAATTTCAATTGATGAAATGGAAATCTATGAAAAGTAAATAATAGAAATCTCTCAATCATAAGATACAAACTTACATAATTTGTACTTTATTTTCAAAAATATTTTTTATAAACTGGTTGTCCTTTATCACGAACTAAATGTTTTTTTTAATCTTGTTTCAAACTGTTATATATTATCTACATCGTAGCGGAAATAAATGAGATAGGAACATTCATAGTGATAATGCAAGTTGTGATAGTTTAGAAGAAAAACAAAGAACTATCACTAAGTTAATGAGGTTCATATACTTTATTTGCGTGATCATATAAAAAAAACAGAAGTAAAACTAAGAATGTCCCGAGTGCGAATAAGATTAAAAAGTAAAGCGGAAATAGCATGCGATTCATTAGAGGTGAAAAGATGTTGCATGTGATAGATCAAACTGAGACTGATTTGATTATTAAAAGAAGAATTAATTAAATATAAACGAACTTTTAAACGAAGTTAAATTTTGATTGAGCTATTTTGAATACGAAATAGAAAAGTTCATTTTCTATCAACGATACAAATAATGATTTTATTTAACAATACTGATCTACATAGTTTGACTATGATAATATATGGATAAGAAAAAAGTTTTATTTTGTTTAGAATGCATTTGAAAAATACAATGTATAAAAATATCTTTTCAATTTTTGGAAATTTAACCGAGCTAAAGTAGTTACTATATTTCTTTGAAAGAAGTCAACTGTTGTGATTCACTGAGCCGTATTTATGATAAACTTTTCAAAAGGAATTAATTTAAAAGTGAATACTTAATGTATTTTCAATTTTTACTAGGAATATGCTGACTTTTGATATCTGAAGAGTTTGAATTCTGCTTTTTAGTTGGCGGATACAAATTTCAGTATCTAAAATAACTAGCCTATTGAATCAAAGTGAACTGGAGATTTTTAAATTTTTTATCGGCATGCCATTTATGTGACATCCTGTATTTCCGCTTTTTTTCACAAAAACAATCAATGCAATTCGACTATTCCATTAGTTTCATTAATCGAATGCCCATATCGCTTTCGTTGAAAAACTGGTGTTTGGAATATTCGAATAAATATTTAGTAGCATTCTTTGATTCGATACATGATGAATTATTACTAGAACAGTTTAATATTAATTAATTCAGATAGTTATGGCTATAAAAAAGTGTTTTCAATCGAAAGTCTGCATTGTTCTAAAAGATATATTACCCATATATTTGTTATTGATCAAAAAACTGTTCATTGTAGTTTTCGGCTGATAATTAATGAATATTTTCCAGCAGTAGAAATTGCGTCATTTAATAATGCATTCGTAGGCAACTATTCTACATATTTCACATTTTTTTCAATGAAATGGTTATGCATCGAAAAATGAAAATTGTGTAAAAGTCAAAGTTCACATATTTTCAAGTTTCTAAGAGAAATACAAGAAACAAAAAAAAACAAATTGTTGATAGGCATTTATTTAACAGTTCTTACTATGTAGGTAATGATGTAGAATATTATTTTAATTTATAATTGACGTATTTTATGAAAGGAAAGTGCTGACATTTTTCTCATACCTAGGGTAGTAATTGATTGATTGTTTTTCTTTTCAATCAAAGAAACAATTTTCTTATATTCTATGTGCACCTATATATATATATAGGTGTTCTCACAATTTGGTAAATTAATCACTATTGTACTCAAGTATTACTATATACATTACAATATTTACTATTGAAATGCCTGTGGTTTTAACTTCTGCTCGTGTTCTCGTCGATGAACCTTGTTGCGATGAAGTTCAAGTAACAAAATATGTTCGAAGAGTTCCAATCTGGAGTCCCCTGTTCTTCGATAGCCCAATAAAAGTAGTAAGCGTTGATTCAAGACCAATCATCACTCGTACAAAACGTGTTACGATTCGTAAACCAGTATTTAAAGTTATCATATAATAATATCTATATTTTTTTTGACAACTCAAATAATATAATAAAATATGCATGCGACAAGAAAACGACCTATCTTATACTTATACAAATAAACAGATATGCATTTTTTTGTGAGAGAAAAAGGAGAATAATTTTAGTTGATATGAAATAGTTGTGAATCTGTATTATCAACATCTACTGATGATTATTCAAGAATGTTCTGAAGTATTTTTGTAATGTAAATATTACATTGATATGACATGATCAATGAATGTTGGAAAAGAGAGATTTGATCTAAAATACAAATGAAAAAAAATAGTATGATCTTATACAATTAAAAACATGTACTTTTTTATTCGAAACAAAAATTATAAAGAGCGTCAATAGATATTAAACGATTCCGTAAGAAATAATATTCATTGAATAATAATGAACATCGTTATATGGTCACAATAAAACAACTCGATTCGATAATCTATTGAATAAATATAACTAAAGATATATAGATAACATGAAAATAAAAAAGTGTATGGGTAAATGAAATTTCGATAGAGGATCTTATATAGTTAAAGAAAAGTTTACAACAGACAGATCACTTGTTCTATAATATTAAGTGAATATAAGCTCGACTTTCTCTAATTTAATTAGTTACTATTAAGATCTTTCAAATATTAATCCAATAAACATTTTACTTTTATATTTATGTGTAAATTTCAAAAAGCCATTGGTATAATTTTATTTTGATTTTATATTGAAATAGATCAGTTGTTACTCTCTTGAATTTATTTTTATATTACTTAAAATTTAAAATATTGATTTAATTACAAATTCATTTCTGTTTCAATAAAATTATTTGATCACAAAAACTAATGCTCTATTATATAAATATAATATAATATTTTTCTTAAACCATAAAAGATTAACACACTCAATGAATAGATTAAATTTAGTTATATATCAATCTCGATCATATCGAATATACACATCGACTTTTGCTTTCTCTTACTATTAATACACAAGTTGGTGTATAATATAATCGTCGTGTTACTAGTAGATTTCTTTTTTGTTCGTTCTGTTATCGTCTATATAATGATATAAATAGTATTCAAATAATCTATGTATAGTATCATAAGGATGACGAAGCAAAAGTTTAATTGTACAAATAATATACGATAGTATCAAGTCATGATGACGAAGCAAAAAAAAGAAGATATATATGTACATTATAGATAAGAAAGTGTATAATAATCTTTTATTTAAATTTCGAACGTAAAATGAAGGCTGTCGGTTTAAAGAAATATGGTGATATTAATGTTTTTGAAGATATCGACGTACCTAAACCATCTGCTCCTCAAAAACAACAATTACTTGTTCGAGTAAAAGCTACTAGTGTTAATCCAATTGATGTCAAAGTACGAGGAGGTGTTTATGATGATTATCCAGATTATTTTGATCGTGTTCCACTTAATAAAGATAAATATCAAATTCTTGGCTTTGATTCAGCAGGTATTATCGAACAAATTGGACCTGATGTAACTCGATTTAAAGTTGGTGATGAAATCTATTTCGTTGCTTCACCTTTTGGTCATGGAAGTGATGCTGAATTAGTTCTTAGTGATGAACGAGGTGCAGCATTAAAACCACGTAGTCTTTCATTTGAACATGCTGCTGGTATTCCATTAACAGCACTTACAGCTTGGGAATCACTTGTTGAACGTCTTGAAATAAAAGAAGGTGAACAAGCAGCTATTCTTATTATTAATGGTGCTGGCGGTGTTGGATCAATAGCAACACAAATATGTGCTAAAATTCTTCGTTTACCAGTTATTATAACAACAGCATCAAGAGAAGAAACAAAAAAGTTTAGTAAAGAAATGGGTGCAACACATGTTATTAATCATCATGAAGATATTCGAAAACAAATAAATGATTTAAAATTAAATATTCCATTAAAATATGCATATATAACTCATACAACTGTTGATGAATATGTTAAAATATGTGCTGATGTTCTATCACCTTTTGGGAAAATGTGTTCAATTGTTCAAGGAAATTTTGATTTTTATGGTACACCAAGTATGGCTAAATCTTTAACATTTGTTTGGGCATTGTTAGGTACAAAAGTACGATATGGTATTGATATAGAAATGCATGGAGAAGTACTTGAAAAATTATCTAAATTAATTGATCAAGGTGAAATTAAATCACATGTAACACAAACCTTTGATTTTAATTGTGAAAATTTGAAAAAAGTTCATGATATTGTTGAAAAAGGCAAGGCAATCGGTAAAATTACTTTAAAAATGAACACATAATTATATTATCTTTTTTTATGTATTGTTGGTACTTTTTATATAATATAATCTCGCTCCTTCTATATTACTTTTAATTATCTTTCCATACATATACTTAAATAATGTGAATTTGACTTAATCTAAAGATGTTTATCTCGTTTTAAACTGAGAAAATAAGTTTGATTGCCATGTAACACATATATTTTTATTTATTATCAATGATTTTAAAATAATATCATATACCTATATAATAGTAATAGCATGACGTAATTCCTCTCTATAATCTTTGATATTATATTAAACGAATAAATACCGAGAGGATTATCTAGTACTTTATATTTTTAATTCTCACACTTGTATATACTTAATATAATAATAGCTTCGTATAAAACAGGAAAAAAATGGTATTTTTGATGTATTTCATTTTCACTAATTAAAATGCAAATATCTATCAAAATCATCATTTTAATGCAATTCTTTTATTTCCTGGATAATAGTGGTTGAGATTTATACTAGAATTTTATTCTAAATAATCGTTAACTATTAATCATAGAGTATTTTGGAAAGTGCATATTATTTAATAAGTTATTTTTATCAGTTTATAATCTCATGGCAATTTAGTATATTTTTGATCTGTATAACAAAAGAAATATATACATATATCTTTCTCTCTTCTTCTTTTCGTCGATAGGTAAACTAATAAACTTGTAAATAACTCAATGTGATTGATACATTGATGTTAGCAAGATTTTCAGTCGAAAATTAAAAGTAGATCTCTGTGAAGAATAAAATATTTTAGATAAATTCTAATAAAAAAAGTCAATATATCAGCAAGATCATAATTCACACTCATATATTAGTATCGAAATTTTCTAATTGTAGACGAAATTTGAATTTAAAAGTATTTATTGTATTTGAAAAGATTCTTTAGTTAGAATTATTTCGTGATAAATTTTATTGAAATTTTTTATATTCAATAAAGACAATTAGTTATTTTGATTGTATGTCATGGAATAATAATAATGTACTTGATATACTCAAAAAATATTAACGAATAAATAATATTTAGTTCATCTATAAAGTGGGTTTGGGTGTGAGATAATTATAGTACACGTACATTCACTAGACCACAATAGTTCCACATCAGTTTCTTTCTTTGGAACTGTGCAACAGTTTTTTTCATAAGAATAATATTATTCAATATCCAGAAGTATCATTCACATACCGGAACAGTATTGTACAGTTTTGAGAATAATATATTCTGATTGTGGGTAATTTTGTTCTGTCATGGAATTTTTTTTGAACAGTTCTCAGATCGAATGGTCCGATCCGTTCTGAATCCGTACTATAGTCCTTTTATCATGGTTTACATTTCGAAAACGCATTGTAAACGACTCAGTTTTGATCGAACTGGGTTACTAAGAACGGAACCATTCTAGGCTTAATATTCGCACTCACCCACCGTCACTCTGGTCGAAGATTTCAGTTCTAGTGTCTCTATCTTTTATTCTTTCCTTTGTTTAATTTTCACCACGAGTTGAAAGATCAATTTCTATGCCTAACGTTAACGATCTACTCCGTTTACGAAAAAATTGATCATCTTTTCTTTTTTACTCTTCACTTTCGTTTTCTCGCGAAAGTAAAAACCAAAAAACGCATGTCCCCAGTGGAATATATATTCTCTCTGGATGGTGAAACCCGAAAAAGACACACGTTCTCTCCTTTTTCCGAACGCCAACTAACATAGCAAAGCTGTTATCTACATCATTCTTAGTTCCGTATTACTCCCATACTTCTCGCTATACAAATAAAACAATATATAATATATAAATCTTTTTTATTTATTTTTCCAACCAAGCTTGTTTTTTTGAAATAATCAACAGACTTTTTATCTTGTACAATCATTTTAAGCTTTCGACAACTGTTTTTAAATCCATCGTCTTCCCCATTGAGACTGTGCTGACATTGTATTGCTTTAATAATATGACCTAGTTATGTTTTACTTCCAGATTGTATAAGAAGAATAACGCCTTCACATCTGGATCGGCTAGCATTGACATCAATGGTTTCAATTAATAGATGTTTTGGTGAAAGACAACCCTTTGTATCACACAAATGTGATCCTACAACAAAAGGAAAAGTTATTCTATTAATCAATTATAATAGAAATATGTTTTACTTACCACTGTTTTCGTTTTTTCTATTAGACAAGTTCGTAAAGAATGGAGAGTGGCATCGTAGTATAATGTGTGATTTATAAAGCTTCACGAAATCAATATAATGTGTTTTGATAAAATATTTAATTTTTGTTTGCACGTTAGAAGGTATGGAACTATTTCCATAAAGTTTTAAATTAGGACGATGCGTAGTCTGTGACTTTAAGTATTGATCAGCGATGCACCTAGACATTCACTCTGCAAGATCTTTTCCTAAAAATAAGAGCTTTATCAATAAAACAGTTACAGAAGAAAAACTCACTGTTATGGTCGTCACTGCTTTTCATTTCCTGTAGTTTCTTGATGATAACACATTCCGAAACATGCTCTTTATTAATGCAATCAATGCATTTATCATTATTTAACATTTCCTCCATTAATAATTTTGCTTCCTCATCTTTCAAAGATTGTTAAAATTTTGTGCTGATTCGATCTGTTTACTATCATCGGTACTTTCCTCTGTTTTAATAATAATTGCTTTCGTTTCCAGTAATGATGATAATTCTGCTCTATACTTCAAATATCTCCGTCGCTCATAAAATTTTTGCTTCAGAAAGACAAGCTCCATTAATAAATTGGTTGCAAAGTTGTAAATTCGCTTATCTTTCTCGTTTTTTTTTCAAAATCAAGATCCGCTGGGATATCAGTAAATTCATATTCTGTTGAATTCATATTTTTTTAAAAAGTTCAATAAAACAAGCTTGACTAACTGCAATAAATTTTGTTTCCGTATCGTTGGCCCAGTAACAGTTGTTAGATACTATGAATGAAATTCTATTCTAGGAAATAATGTAAAAAGAAAGTAAAATAAGACAAAAACAAAAATAAGAATCGAAACTTACTTATTATGCTGAAGTGTTGAGTGAGTAGAATGAGCCTTATTGTCACTTTGCTTGTTGGCCACAAATACAGTGAAAATTGGCTACAAACATACATATTTATTGTTAAAAAGCTGTTTCCTTTCTTCAATGTTCTTGTTTCTTTTTTGTACGTTCTCTCTCTAGAGAGAGAGAAACAGGAATATTAAAGAAAGGGAACCACTCTTAACAATAAATGTTTGTTTGTGGTCAATTTTTACTATATTTGTGGCCAACGAGCAAAGCGGAAATAAGACTCATTACGATCGCTTGGATCAAACCGCGGTAACCTATTCAGAAAAAAATGATAGGTTGAAAGACTATGAAATAATAGCAAAATCGATAATTCGTGAATATATTTTGTGAAGTTTAAGTTGCAATTTTTCTAGTGTTAGTACTAAATAAAGTTATGAGAACAACGTTAATCGAGTCGTATATGAAAGAAGAAAATAAAACACATGAGAAGAAAAGTAAAAAAAGAAATGATGCATCGTATGAAACGATTGATAAGTGTAAAAACGTACACTGATAATGAAGACACCATGTATTTTGTATTTTTTTTCTTCTGTTCTGTCCACATCGACCATGGTATATCTCTACATATCATATTAACGTTTTTATGTTCTGTTCTTTTTTCTTTCACTAACCAAATGATGATGCGCTGAATCATAAAATAATAGGCCGCCACGTTAAGTTCAAAAAGTTGTAAAAATATCTTTTATATTAGATTTGATAAATAAGGCATAGGATTTTTATGAAATAATAACATAAACTATCAAATAAATAGATAAAGATGGAAAAAATGAATTTATTTAACAATATCATTACGTCGTACTATTTTCTTCCGTTTTCTAATAACAATATGAAAACTATCATGTGCATTGTCCGTTAGTACAATTTTTATTGTGAAGATTATAATTTTTGATTTTTAATTTTAAAATAATAAATATGATTAATATGAAACTTAACGAAAAGACGAAAAAAGATGCGGCCTGTCACTCTACGTGTGATACGAGGGAAATGCTATAAAATGAAATTTTGTTAAACATCTGTAAAGGGTAATACAGCTTGTCCAAACGTAACGCTGTTACGTTTCTGACACATTCCTTAGCTATATATGGTGGTTTAACCGTTGCCTTACGACTAATAATTCCATATATTATCAAATTAATCTTCTCAATTAAAAACTGTTCTCGAAATAATCAAGTTACTCCTGATATATAATACACACATGAACACTCTGTTTTGCTCTCTTCGCTTATATATTGTAATCAATAAAATAAAATAAAAAAAATCGATTTGTTATTTTATATATCACCAGCGTTACGAAGAATCAACGCACAAATAACAACGTAGCTTGATATAAAATCGAATATTATCGCACATAGCCGTCTTGTTATCGTTCATATCAAATTGAAGTTTTATTTCAATAGTAGTTGTTTTACTTTCAGGATATGAATTGTAACCTTGTTTTTGTAATGTCCATACATTTAAAATTTCGTTGTCTTCATTTCGTTCGATCACAATGATGTCAACATATTGATTACAATCACTAATAATCTGTAATACTGCAAGTTTATGAAGAAAAATTGATCTGTAACGTGTAACATCAATTCGTTGACTCATTGTTACGTTTTTCAATGAATTATTTTTAATTAAAGATCTATTAGCAACAAACATACAATCGACATCACGATTAGCACTGTGGTTATCATTCATGAATTTTGTCAATAAAATCGAGTTAGATGGTTCAACATTCCAATCTTCTTCCACACGTTTATGACAATCAGCATTTCCATTACGAATTAAAGGCATATCATAAGCAATTGTTCCATTCGGCAATATCGTATTTTCAATGGAAATAGCTGAATAAAGTTGTTCATCAGTAATACAAGCATTGAATAAATTCGAATGAGAAAGATTAGCCATCAATAGATTAACTCCAGTAAAATCACTATTGATTAAATTACTCATTGATAAATAGCTAGCAAACATCGTAGAATTATTTAAATTGACTCGATTCATATCAACAGATAAAAATTCACACTGATCTGCAATAATATTTTGCATATGAGCTTGTCGAAATGAGCTTCGAAAGATATAACTACCTTTAGAAAAGATAATGGAATTATTAAAAACAACATTATCAAAAATAACATAACGCATTGTAACACTAAATGTAACTTGTGACATAATTGCATTGATAAAAGTCGAATTATATAAATAATTAATATCAAAAGACGAATTGGTAATTGTTACATTAACAAACGATGAATAAATTATATTCGTACCAAGAAACCTAACATTTTTTAGTTGAGCAAAATCAAAAGTAATATTTTGCAGATAAGATCCGTAATTCTCATCGCTAAATATAACATAATTTAATTTAGCCATAAAAAATGATGCATTCCTAATACTTTCTACATCGACAAATGTTACATTATGAACAAAATATGAATAAGCAAAATTTAAATGAGTTCCACTAACACTTTGAAGTATCACATTCATCCATGATGTATTCGAAAAATCAATGAATCGTAATTCACCACCAAAATGAACTGATGAAAAAGAAACTTCACAGAAACGAGTATTAATCAAATTAGCATGTGTAAAATTAACATATACAACAGATCTGTATGAATCTAATTGATTAACATTTGATGGTTTCGATAATATGTCAGTGAAATCAATTCCCATTAAATTAGCATAAGCTAAATTAATTTTTCTCAAATCAGTTTTATATAATTTAAATGAACCATTGAATTTTGTATATGAAAGATCAGTATTAGTTAATTTCGTAAAAGAAAAATCTACATCAGTAAGTATTGCACCAGAGAAATTTGTTCCAGTTAAATCACGATTACGAAATGAACTACCTGTAAGATCAGCACCCGATAAATATAAATTGTGCATTTTTTCACCAATTATTTTACTACTCATATCAATACTTAATAGTTCACCGGTATATAAATCAATAGGAGATTTTTCATGTGAACTTAAAAGATTTGCTTCATAAAGAAAACGAATTACTTCAGAATTTCTATTCGAATCAAGTTGACGCAACAATGTTAATGTTTTCAAACGTATTAATGTACGTAATAACGAATTATTTGTTATACTTTCATTAATTTCTTTTAATAAATCACTCATTTGATTAATATAATTTGTGAGAAGAACATCACGATAACGTTTATCTTCTATTTTAAATTGATGTATTCGTGTTTGTTCACTAATATTTCGTGTTTCATCAGCTATCATTCGTTCAAGTGTACGTTGAAGAATTGATTGATTTAAATCTTGTAATCGATGTTCACGTGCTAATTCTCTATCTTCACGTCTTTGCTCATGAGAAATATTTAAATCTTGTTCACGTTGTTCATCAGCTAGCCGACGATCTTCTAATCGTTGTTTTGTTGCTAAATTCTTCTGATCAAAAGAAAGTACTACCGTAAATATTCCAAGCATCAAAGGAAGTGCAAGAGAACTTAGAATACGAAAAATATCTTTTTTTGTTAAACTACAACACTTTCGAGTTTGTTTGGTCCGACGATACAATAATATTGATGATCGACGATGACGATAACCATGCCAAGATGACATCGTTTATTTTTTTGCTAGTATGTAATTGTCTTATATTTTATATGTTATTTTAAATCCTTATTTATATGTTATTATTTGGATTAGAATCATTTTTTGTTTCAGATGGCTACATAAGAATACATATGATAGAAGTTTTATGTTTCATATACATAACAAATTTTCGAATAATGACGAACAAGTGTAACCGATTCTCCTATCAGAAATATGATCAAATAATCTACCTACATTGATAATCTCGTTGTATCTGACGTCATAGATACATGTAAATGATATTAATAAAATACGTATATTATCGTTACCATCATTAAAAAATCAATATGTATATATAAATGGTTATATTTACTTTAATCAACAAGACACTCACATTCACATCTATTCTTTTCATACAAGAAAACATCTTTAACTAGTTTAGACTTTCAAATCATTTTGGGTTTTTAATAGTCAATACTTCTGTTGATATTGTTATAGAATAATTCAGAACTTTCTTAAGCACTTTACTTATTGCTCGCTAGATGTTTATTAAAAACGACTAACGCTGATAAAATAAACTCATTTAGTTTTTTTTGCCGTTATTTTATCTCTCTTTCTCTCTTTGCCTATCAATTCTTTCGTTTAATACCGATTCTCAGCCTATAGTATTTTTTTGTAAATACAAAGTCATACTGAATTTTGTTCTTTGTGTGAACTTCAATGAGATAATGATTACAATTCAAGTAGAAGAGTTCTTTTTAACGTATTGAAACTCACTAAAACATGCATTTTTCACATGACAATTGTTTGTTTTTGATTAAAAGAAGTAAGTTTTATAATGTGGTATGTTCTACAACTTAACTTTTTATTCAAATTAGAATTATTTAATAGAGTTATGTCAGATTTCCTAACGATTGCTACTATTTACGTATAAAATTCTTTTAGATTGTTTTTCATTTCATTTTCTTTGCCGAATCATCTCAGACAAACATTAAAAGTATAATATTTTTCTAGTCGAAGCTTGAATCTTATATAATTTCACAAATCAGATATACCGATAAGATATGATGGAAGAATTAATAAATACCAAGAAAAAACCTGAAAGATCACGATGTAAACAAGTTTTCCTCTTATTTAATGTACAACAGCAGAAATATGATGAACTGATACTTTTTTCTTCAGTAAATCTAGCAAGTACGCTTCGTATTCTATCGACAAAACATGTTGTGATAAACTCCGATTATAGTCAAATATACAAAAAACAGCTTATTAATTAATGAAAGAATGTTTTAACATATCCAGGTCCATTTTAAATTCTTGTTTGCCTATAATTATTATATAATATCTACTGCATACCATTTTATATCGCTAAACAATCATTAAAAAAAACATTGTATACACTTGTCATGTCTGTTTTGTAATTTTTGCAGCTAACATCATTCTTTTTCCTTTTTTTTTCTTTCAATAAGTAATTGCAACATCGTGTGAAACCAATAATAAAACAAACGCCTACTTATTTAATCGGAAGAAAAAATAACAACACATCATATAACTGACATATACGGCTCCATACTATCCATTTCAGCGATATTCAACAATGGCAAATCAAACCATTGCTACTTTCTTAACATTACCGGTAGAACTTGTCTACCGGATTTTAGATCATCAATCGGATCTTACAATGTTATGATCAATGAGAAACGTATGTCAACGATTCAACAACATTATAGACAGTTATGATCGATATCAGGTAACCTTTTTTCTATCGACCTTGGAATTATTTTTCACTCCTACAATGTCTTCCTAAAAAACTAGTTTTTGTATCATGACAACATAAAAATAATTTCTTTTTCTCTTTTTATTCAATTTATTTTAAATACTCCACGTTTCAAACTGAGTATGATGTCAATAACATATAATATCTAGATAAGAACGAGAGAAAAAAGGATAAAATATTACTATTTGCTTTTACGTGTATGTAGACACGTTTTTTTTAAATACTGTTTCGATACTAAATATCAGATTTTGAAAGAAATGTACAGTGTATAAAATAGTTTATCTTGTTATAAATAACATCCTAGAAGTTCTCTTGAGAAATATCTCCGACTAATACTCCTTTGAGAGCATAAGCGACTGTCGATATATATGACGATGGATATGAATGGCGAGGATATTGGCGCATAACAGCATCCACATTCTTCCCCAATGACACCGCTCACATCCATATCATTAAGAGAAATATTACTTCTAAAGCAAATGTTTTTCCAAAATAATCGTTCTGAAAAGTATTTCAACTGTGAAAAAAAACTTTCTCAAGGACGAAGTTTCAAGGATAATTCATTGCCAGGTTGAGAAGTCCAGAGCCATTCATAAGGGATCATTTCTGTACGACAATTTTGCATGTATTCGTCTTCTATTCATCTTGAATAAAATTCCTCATCAATATAAATCATGTGCGTAAATGAAACGAAGTTAGACAACACACGCGTTTCTTATGAGAGTTATACTTTGAGTCACATCAATGGACATGGAAGAAACTATTTTTGTTATACCTAGAGAACACTAGCAAGCGATGTGCTATACTTTATTACACTCCAAAACATTAATTCTAATACTTTGCGCTTTAGGCATCTAATCAAACACTTTACAATTGTATTTTGCCAAATCAAATTTCACACTATTACTCATTTATTAGAACGTTTTCCTACTTCTATAAATATTTCAGAACTTTAGCAACTCATAGATAAAAAAATTGGCATATATGCGTCAATCTTAGGACCTCTCTTTTAATCAAGCTTTCTCGATGGAATCATAAGCGCTCTATACCATCTAAAATTTTTGAACAAAATTCTCACTCATATCAATACACTCTACTCCACCCTACTCTCATCAACATTCCTCATATACACCTACTTGGATATAGCAGCAATTAACGATTATCTTCTTTCATCTGAACTTTTTCACCTAGACACTCAATATACTAAATCTGCAGAGCAGTCATCCTATTCCGGAAAGTTACACATTCCGGAATCGCTTGGCTCACCCAACTTAACATAATTCAATTCCGGAATTCCTTGCATTCGATTCCTGCCTATTCCGGAATTCCTTGCATTCGATTCCTACCTATTCCGGGCGATTCCGGAAAAGCCGGAATGCACGAATTCCGGAATTCCGCTACGGAATCGATTCGATTATTCAGGAGGATCATTTCTACATGAAGTATAACTTGTGCAATTCCGGAAAAGCCGGAATTCCTGCCCATTCCGGGTGATTCCGGAAAAGCCGGATTGGGCACGAATTCCGGAATTCCGCTACGGAATGGAATAAGTCGCTCACCATGTTCATTTCTACATCAAGCATATCTTTCGGAATTCCGGAATTGGCAGGAATAGCATTAATCTGATGGAAGGAATT